TGATCACATATTTTTTAAACAAAAGATACAAGCACCCCAATATTAACAGAAAAACAAACTTTGTGGATACCTAAAAAGGAGGTTTCCTCCAGCACTGCCACCCACTGATGTACACCCTGAACAAAGCCAGCCTGCATTATCAGTGGCCACAGCCATCTATTCCTCCAAATGAATGAACTGTAGGCTGGTCAGAAAACTATTTAATAGACTGAAGGCAAAAGGGTGTCACTGCAGAATGACGTGGGACACAGAACTCGGCCACGAGAGTACTGGGGAACACCAGGCCAGGCCAGGCCATTTCAGGTGTCTGCTGCAGGCCTGTCACCCACACCAAGATTTTCATGCAAATATGGACTTAAAGTAAAACAGAAAAGATTGTGCGTAAAGAATGAGTACCGGAAAAAAAAAAAAAAGAATGAGTACTGGAGTGCCAAGTAAATCCCCAGTGTAGGTTACCCCCTCACCAAGTGACTGCTGATCAGAATCCACAAATGGGTATCTGTGGTCCCATGTGGACACAGGCTCAGGTCCAGGCTGCTCCATTTCCAAACCAATTCCCTGCTAATGGGCATAGAAAAGCAACGGAGGATGATCAAATATGCAGACCTCTGTACTCACATGGGAAACCCAGAGGAAACTTTAGCCTGGCCAGCCATTGCCATTACAACCATTTGAGAAGTGAACCAGCATATGCAAGGGTTCACTTTCTCTTTCTCTCCCTCTCTCAAACTTGGCCTTTCAAATAAATGATTCTTCTTAAAAGTTCATGCACTCTCCCAAACTCCAAGACCCCAGCTACAGGCAGCTTAAAAATGCCTAGAGCGGCTGGAGTTGCAGCCAAACTGGTGAAGTTGTCACCTGCAATGCGAGCGCCCACTATGGGACCTCCACTTCCAATGCAGTTCCCTGCTAACGGGCTGCAAAACCAGCCAAAGATGGCCCCAGAGTTTGATCCCTGTCACCCATCCTGGGAGGCCCTAACGAAGTTCCTGCCTTCAGCCTGACCCATCATAGCCACCATCTGGGGAGTGACCAAAAGATGGAAAATACCCTGGGCCTGACACCATGGCTAGTGGCTAAAGTCCTCGCCTTGAACATGCCAGAATCCCATACGGGCGCCAGTTCTAATCCCGGCAGCCCCATTTCCCATCCAGCTCCCTGCTTGTGGCCTGGGAAAGCAGTTGAGAACGGCCCAAAGCCTTGGGACCCTGAACCCATGTGGGAGACCTGGAAGAAGTTTCTGGCTCCTGGCTTCATATTGGTGCAGCACCAGCCGTTGCACTCAATGGGGTGTAAATCATTGAATGGAAGATCTTCCTCTTTGTCTCTCCTCTCTGTATATCTGACTTTGTAATGAAAATAAAATAAATCCTAAAAAAAAAAAAAAAAAAAAAAAAAAAAGATGGAAGATACCCTCCCTCCTTTCCCAACCCACACCCTGGCCACCATTACTCTTCTTTTCAAATAAATTATGTATGCATGAATGTATGTATGTATACATGTACACATAAATATACATATGGAATGTGTAGGAAAAAACACAATAAATGCTATAGGAATAAAATTTTGTATATGGGGCTGGTACGATGGTTCAACTGGCTAATCCTCAGGTAAATAAGCATCCCAAATGAGCACCGGTTTGTACACACTTTCCCTCCAGCTCCCTGCTTCCGGCCTGGGCAGCAGCAGAGGATGGCCCAAGGCTTAGGGACCCTGTACCCACACAGGAGACTCAAAAGAAGCATCTGGCTCCTGGGTTCAGACTGGCTCAGTTCCAGTCACTGCAGCCATTTGGAGATTGAACCAGCGGACTAAAGATCCTTCTCTCTGCCTCTTCTCTCTGTATTGCCTTTCCAGTATAAACAAAATGATTTTTTAAAAATTGTACAAATCAAGGCTTCTATGTGTTGCATGCATGTCTGCTGTAAGATACAGTCATGCGCCACGTTAATAACTTTCCTTACCAAGGATCACATATATATGAAGCTGCATTCCTCAGACTACAACAGAGCTAGTATGTGGACGGTACCTTTTCTCTGTTTGGAATCCCCAACACTGACCATGATCCTCTAACTGACTATGATGCTTACGACAGCCTGTTGTATAGGACTGTAGTCCAAGAGAAATATCTGACACCACACAGCCGTCATATGTATTAGTTACAGCATTTAAATTTGTGTCTTACATTCTATGATGCTCACACAATGAAGAAATTGCATATGTTCACAGAAGATAACCACAGAATGTTCCTCATGGGTAAGGAATTTGATGCACTGTTTTAGTTAACTTTTACAATAATTTTAGAGATAGGTTGTAGCATGACACCTATTTTACAAGTGAGAAAACTAAGGTGTTGAAAGATTACTTGTAATGTTATACAAGAACATGTCAAGAGACAAAGGGTTCCTTAAAGGAAAATCCATCAAAAACACAACAAAACACTTGAACCAAAATAGTTTAAATCACCTTTACAGCACTTAATTATGTATGTTAGCCACTCAACAGAGGTCATAAATGCACAAAAAGATACGAGCAATTAAACTGAACACTACATACCCAAATACCTGTGTGTCAGCCAGTGCCTGAGCACCCAGTGAGGCTAGGACATGAGCCCGGCCTGCAGAGCACCTCTGCACTGGCCTGAGCCTGCCCTGCGGATGCTGTGCGCTGGGATCAGCTCGCCCAGGCCAGCGAAGATCTGGGCAGTGTCACTTCCCCCTCCTTCCCGCCCCTAACCAAAGAGCACAGTCCTTTCTGCCTGAAAATGTCTTACCTAACACTCACTCTACAACAAGCACATCTGCTGCCTTTCTAGCAGATACACACATGAACAGATAGGTTAAAAATTTATAAAATTCAATTTTATAAGCTTACATCATCATTTTAATATAGAAACCTAGAACACATACACCTGAATATGTAAAGCTAAATTATGATACAATCAAGTGTTGTCCTATAAAGACTAAATTAACAAAACAGTCCATTAGGGTAGGCATCTGGTGTACCCTGGCAAGAAATGTTAATGTTATTGTCTGCAACCAGTAATCAATTTTTTCTCCCAGCAGCACTCTCATTACACTGCGTTAGATCTGTGTGCCTGCAGAATTTATGAGCACGCCACATGTGGGGGAGGGAGCGTTGCCAAATGGACCCGATTCAGACCCAGCACGGATGACTCTGGCAACACAAAGCAGCATTATCGAGCAATCAATACTGAGTACAAGTGCAGGCAGCATCCCCCTGATGACGGATTCCTCATCTACACGGCGAACCTGCAGGCAAGGGTGTCTGAGCGCCCCACCAATCATCAGTCATCTGAATCCTCGGTGGATGTGGGTATTTTTGCTGATAAGATATAAGTACTGGGCATCACTCATGCTAAAATAAAGAGCTTACTGAAATCAATGTTATTGTTACTTTGGGCAAACACCATTCAGCATACCCTATTTAGGGAATTTCATGGTAAATAAAACAGCCTAACATCTAACAATGACATCACATTAATTTAGAGACTAAAGCAATAAAATATCAGCTAAAAGGTAAATTCCACATGATAGATATAGTTGGAAGCAAGATGGCAAATGCTGAAGCTTAAAAGTAGGAAGCTGAATCTATTTATCTGTCCCTCAACATGTCAACATATCTGTCCAGAACTTAAGATGTGACTTTTCTGATTAGGTGCTACCTTCCACTGTGAATGGTTTTTATTTCAAGCACTGCTGTTCTCAAGTCATTCAACAGACAGCTACACGCTCTCCCTGCTATTCTGTGGCTGCTACTCCTGATTGTGGCTGCAGCTGTTAGCACCCCAAGCCTCCCGTCTCAGGTCTCTCCGTCCTAAGCCCCATGGAAGCTCAGGCTGCCCTGACAATGACTCTGCCTGTAACTGGCCTGAAAGTTACAACTTGACCCCAACCTGACCTTGGCAGTCCCTTTGATCCACCCCGCTTTCTATGCTACCTCGGCCTCTGAGGCCCACTAACCCACACTGCTCACGGACATCCCGCGGGCCATCTTCTCACAGCGCCTGGCCTGGCTGACAGGGCCTGGCTGCCGCGCTGCACAAGCACCACACCCAGCCCCTAGAAACGCACTGCTCTGCACATGCCACAGCCCATGCGCAGCACTCATGCATCTTAATCTCAAGATATTCACACTTCACACTCAACCAAATTCATCACATATTGGCAGTACCCTGAACTGCATGTTTGTGTTGGCTAGTTGCCTGTTTTATTTTCTACTTCAGTGTGATTTCAGACCCACTGTAGGTCATTCTTAATGATCAACGGTAGTCGTGGAAACCAAGTGGTCCTACACAACAACAAACACGTGCCTTTCAGATGTTACCATTAAATTCTCTGAAAGGAAGGGAAAGGAAGACAAATGCATAGAGCGCATCACAGCCAGGGAACTGCACTCACAGGACCAGCCTGCAGGGCTGTCACCCCGGGCTTTGCCTTCCACAGTCACCACAGCCCTCGCACATCCATGCCCCTGCCAGGGAAGACAGGAATTACAACTACCACTGCGGGAAGTGAAGTACACCTCATCAAGGCCTTTCAAAGTGTTTGTTCTAGGGCTAGCACTGAAGAAATGCCTGTATCTGAATACCACTGCGCAATGGCACCTGAGTGCACAGGTCAGACTGGGGCCCTGGGAGCTGTGTGTCCCACACCAGGACTTACCCCCGACTCCCCCATTTCCGTTGCCAACATCCACACTCGCTGCTGATTGCCAGCTCCTGCTCCTGCAGCAGCCCAGCGTGCTCTCTGCTGGGGCCCAAGTACCCTTCCACTGAGTCCTGCCCCCCTGGACCTGTCCTAGAGGGGTAAGGTAAGTCCCGTAGGTTGCTTCCTCTGTGCGTGTGCTTGTCACTCCTTTAAAAACACACATGATGCAGCACATTTTTAAAGGGGCTCTGGGGAGGGAGGTAATGTTCCTATTTTATACCCTGTGGGATATAAAATACTGACAGCCTTTAAAAACGGGATTCTCCTTACCCCTACAGGCCCTCTCCCGGCTTCAGAAAGTTGCTGTGGTGGCTGTGGTGCCACCGGCAGAGAGCATGCTGGGGGGTCGCACAAAGCAGGAGTTGGAGATCTGCAACAGGCCTGGGAGTTGTGGACCTAAAAAAGAAAATAGTGTTAAGTTAACGTGCCCAAAGCCCCCTCACACCCTGGTTATGAGGGGCACTCAGCACACAAGCAGCTCACCTGCAAAAATCCTGCAGGGATGGCCTCTGGAATCTCAGAGAATTTGTTCTGACACAAAAGTCAACCCTACTGCATTGATCTAAGATGGTCCTCCCTTCAGTGTTACCAAACCCATCAAGACTCTTGCAGCCCCTCCTGGAGGCGGTTGGGGTCCTGTCATAAAGCAGTATGGTGTGTGCCCCTCAAAATAACCAAGTTGAGATGCAACACAGTGACGAAGCACAGGAACAGTGGCATGCTTTGGTTAAACAACAAGAACTCAGTGGCATCAGATAAACACAACGGTCAAATGAACCACAAGTGCACAGACTGAGCTTTCAGAAGGGTTCCCAGGGAGAAACACAAACACTGCAGGGAGAAGGAAAGAAATAGCCACGGCCCAAGAAGCAGACATTTTTCTCAAGGTCCTGCTTTAACTTTGTAAAACTGAAGTCAAACAAGTAGACAAAATCTTAAAAACAGAGAGGAAAGAAGACCATATTCAGTTTTAAATTTCTCAAAATGCCCACAAGTATAATGAACAGACACAATGCATAAAGTTCAAGAAAGCTCTTATTTCTTTAAGGGGGGGGGGGGGACAGTGTAGCATGTACCACATGTCTTTCGTTTAAAGAAACTTGAAAAATATTTTAAAACTAGTAAAAATAAGATTGGGAAGAACTTCTGAAAGCTGTCATAGTCCTTCTAAGTATCAGAACAGATGGCTCAGAAAAGAGTTTGAATGTTCTCTTTCAAAAATTCTAGCGTCTAGCCAACATTAGTTTAAAAAATTCAATTTCATATAATTTGACATGAACAAAAATCTAAAATGCTAATACAAGAACTTATGCTTAAAATTTTTTTGAAAACTATAATTAAGCTTTTAAATACTAAATATTTTATTAGGAGTCCTGCTACATATATTTCCTTTAGAGAAACAAAGAATCACTCTTTGTGAACCAATTATTTTAATATTCTGTCAACAACTACTTTGCAAAAACTAATTCTTTGAGTCTCTATACTCAACAAATATAAAAAAATGAGGTCCTATTTGCGTATTCTTTTTCCACACACCATTTTCTTCCTTTAAAGATCACAATCCAGAACGTTCTGGGCTCTACAGTAAAGTTCTCGTACAGCTTGACTGCCGAGCCGTGGCTCACTAGAGCCAGCGTCTTGTTCAGTTGTGACCTTCCCAGCACGCACCTCCCTCCACCCGCTCCCAGCACCACAGCTTCCAAGTCAAAAATCCACCTGAGTACTCTAAAGTACATTTCTATTTCTAGTATATTCACTGATGTTTGCCATAAAGCATCAAAATTTCTACATAATCTACTGTACTAGAAATTCAAATAGTCTAACCAATAAAATCTTCATTCATTCAACTGTAAAAGGACTTAGCACATCTTAGAACTTAGCATTTAAGAATTTTTGCATTTCTTAAACTGTAAATAATTCTAGTCATTACTAAAACACTCTAATATCAAAAAAGGCACGTCCACAAAGCCGCAAAGTCAGTGGACACTCAGGGTCGGAAAGCACCGCAGCAGCTCTGCTGTTTCTGCACTCCGACAAGACTTTATTTGCAACTATCAGATTCGCTGACTTCATAAGCTCCTTCACAGTCAGAATATTTGGATTTCTGCACTGAACACTTCTCACCCATGGGTAAGTTTAATAAATAATGTTCCAGACATTTCATAAGAAAAAAAACAGCTTTTCCAATGATTTCTCAAAGTTCTAAAATCCAGTTAAATTAGGAGAAAATGAAACACCCAACTTCTCAGTAATCCTGAACCACTGGACGCTGAAATGCCAGCCTCTCTGCTGCCCAGAGCCACAAGCAAAGCAGGTGGCAGGCAGCAGAGCAATGGGGCCAGGCCATGGCTCTAGAGTCCTTCCCGGAAGAGCACCACCTGGTCTCCCCCGTCCACATCACACACAAACAACTTTCAACGTCATGGTCCATAACTGGGGCTGGAAGCTACAGATGTCAAAAAACAGCACTATCTAAAAGGTCTTGCCCATTAAAGAATTAAATAAAATCACAATATTTTAATTTACTCGTTCAAGAACATTTAGTCCTTTAAAATAAGTGCAGATTCGATCACAGTGTTCATCAACTACAAGCAAATAGAGATGGCCTTCATTTCAGACACAGGTCTGGCACTGACCCAGTGAGAGGTGCCACCTGCTGCCTCAGAAGTCTCGGCACTGCTGCTAAGTGAGGCCAACAACCCGCACAGAAAGGGCTGAGCACTAGGAAAGAATGTCTCTGCTGCACACCCACTATCTCATGTCATGAAAGGCAACCACAGTCCACACTTGACAGACTGACAGCACCTGATGACAGAGCTGCAAGGTCCTCCTTTCACCAGCCAACGTGGCACACAAGTCACAAAGCTGTACCTGGGAATCACAGCCCTTCACCAAGGCTCAGCCCTTGAGAAACAGGAACTAGAGAAAGAAATGCCCAAGAACGTGGGCCTAGCTTGAGCAACTGCCGGAAACCAAACAGAACAACTGCTGCTACCCACAGAAACAAGCCGTCACCCAGTTCTATCTTCACTTACCTGATATGTTCTTGCTTAAACTAACTCCTATTGCTCCATGCTGAAAATCAGTCATCTAGGAAATTCAAACCAGAATATAATGCTACCTAAAAAATGACATTACTTTGGTTATATTCATTCAAATTTCTGGGGGAAGGTGGAAGAAACCGATTTTCATTATTTAAATTCATACAATACTACATACTGCAGGTTAACCAAAGAAAGGTAAGCAAGATTCCTGGGTTTGTTCAATAGGTTAGTCTGCAGTTAAAGCAGACACTGTACCAGACACCTACTAAAGTCTCCCAATGAAACACTGACTATGCACCTGTATCACAGCCAGGCAGCACACACACAAGCATTTGGTACTCATCAGTCAGACATGGCACTGGCTGCCAGAAGGCAGAAGCCCAGAGTGGCAAGGGACTGTTCACCCCAGTCAGCTTCATTCCACAGAGCAGGTCCCATACTACAGAAATCACAGCCTTGAGTTTTTAATCCAGAATCAACCCAGCTGGCAAGGAGGAGCTTTAATATTCCATAGTCATACCGTCACGAATTACAAGGCAGCAGCAGGAATGTGAACCAGATACTACAGTGCCAATAGTCAACTTGTACAACCTACCATTCTGTAGCACCACTCCAGAAAACATACTTCAAATGCTAAACAAGCCACATTCAATCAATGTGGAAACCTTCCCACACTTCCTATCACGCCAAAGGAGGGGAAAAGGGTCCTAAATTCAAGATTTACTGAATATTAACATTCCACCTCCTAAATGAAGATCCCTGTCACCACACACTCCATATTAACAGTTCTAAGAGCCATGCTGGAAGGAGGTATGATGGTATAAATTCAGGGATCCGATACTTAACTCACCTTGTATATGTGTGAATATGAGCACAGAAGTATCTATTTAATAAGGTCTAAATGAGGAGATGTCTCAATATCCATGTTCCTTACAAAAGTATATGATGAGATAACCACTTACCTTTGATAAATTTTCATTTTACAGATGAAAAACAGCTTTTTGTTGCACTTAATCTGCTGCTAAGAAACTAAATCAGGCAAGGGAGGGCAACTTTAACCAGAATGAAGGAAGCCAGTTCCTCTGCCAGCCTCTACTGCTGCAGCATGCTGCCAGGGACAGCAAACCATCAGTTTTTAGTGTTAAGGTTTCAAGTACAGACCAGGGAGCAGAGAGAAATTTAAAATTTTCTCCCCAGCTGTTCATGTAGGGCAATGAAACAGAGAGGAAAATGGTATAAAATCATCAATTGCTTGGCACCCATGCTCACCGCAGTAATGGAGACGTGTCTTCTCCCAGGAGACTAGCACGGTGCATCCTTAACTAACACATCTCACTGACACACGGCACTGAGAAACCATGTGCTGGGGACACGAGCAAGGCCACTACGCTCTCCCCTGCACACACAGCCATTTCCCCAACTCCAAGTAATCTCTAGAAAGGTTCAATCTTAAGGACCATCTCCAGAGTTTTTCTAAAATGAAATCGATGGTATGTACCCAAGATAATGTTTATAATAATTACATGGCCTTCCAGGAAACTATTTTGGTATAGATACAAGCTGAAAAATCTGTAACTAAATCAACTTAAATCTCATCTTCCTCTGGTCTATGAAGATGGCAATTCAGGAATCCATACAGAATGCACATACAGAACATCAGAGGAACAGTTTCAATTATTCATCTGCAAAGAACTAGCAGAAACTACTACAAGGAATTCCTTAGCATTGTGTAGAGAATGAAAATTGCTAGCGTCAGTGAAACCCTTGTTAGCATTCCCAAACTCTGTGATAATTGCTAGACTGCAAATTACCTCTATTAAGCTGCTGAGGGCCTAGGTTTCTACAGAAATGGAATTTTGTTTTTTAGTGAAAGAAATCCTCCTTTTAGAATACAATGTGAATGGTTTTTTCTCCATTGATTCCATTCAGGGTGCCTGCCAAAGAAAGCTGCCATCAAGTGTCACAAGCCATCTGTGTTATTAGAATCTAAGGTCCCTGAGGAGGGAGCAGGGCTTGTCCTTCTTCAAGGTTCTCCAGGCATTCAACATGCCAGTCTTCATTCCTGCAGCTTCACCCCTCTGCTAACTGCTCAGTCCCTGGGTCTTTCAACTGCAAATTCTAAAAAAGAAATTAGATCAAATTTATTTTCTCAAGTTGGGCTGGTAAGATCACAGACTGTTATTCCATGCCACTACTATTTTTATTTAGTTCAGAAACCTATGGTGCAAAACTAACCTGGTGGACAGATTATCCCTGTTTTCTTCCTGCTGAGTAGACAGCTTGTCTATACTGCTAACTCACCTCTCCCGCTCTCAACTATATGCTTCATAGATAACTCGGTCAATGCATTCAAACCTCCCATTTGATGAAAAGTCCAACCAAATGAATACTTCCTGAGGGAATGCAAGCGTCCTAACAGAATCTGCAGTTCACTTCCCCTGAAAATGTCAACTATAAAATCACTGCACTTTATTATATCACTTACCCTTGTGGAAACATGGGAATAAAGTGGCCTGACATATCTTGTAGATTCAGTATCAATAAAACAGAAGCCACAGACCCAAGCTTACAGACAAACTGAGCCTACAGTCCATTACCCAGTCCAGGTGTGGGGGCAGGGAGAGTCTATTTACCAGGTCAGCAGAACAGCAGATGCAAACCAGGACATACAAGTGTCTTACAGCCACACCCTGGACAAAAATGGCAGGGAAGCGCAACAGGACCAGGCAGGCAACCTCATTCACCACACAAAACCCAAGGCCCCTGTTCTTGACCTCACAGCAAACTGGCCTGGGAAATGTTACCCGGGATCATGCAGCCAATAAACCAGCATTATATTCATCTCAGTGAATGAGACCTAGCTCCACTCCTCAATAATGTTGTTGTCTAACACATAATCTTACTTAACTTGGATCATAAAAGGCACCCACCCCAGTTCTCTCTATAGTATGTGAATATCCCTCACACCCACAAATCCACCACAATAAAAATAACTAATTCCTATTCTTGATGTAAGTAAAGAAAAAAAAATCTTTCCACTGTAACTCCAAATCACAATCTTTTATGACAGCTAACAGGATAAAACGCAAAATGATTCAGCATTTCAGAGCTACACAGTTTTTCTTTCACATTGGTTAACATGGCATGTTACTTGCTATGAGCAAGACCAACTTCAATCTTCTAAAATCTTGCAGGAAAACAAAATGTGTTTCATTCTGTTTATCTTTCCCCCCTTACAGTCTGGATAGACAGGAAGGGGAAAAAAAGCATGAATAATCTCATCTAATGCTTATTTTTTTCATAAGAAGTAAAACAATTCAAGGAAAGAAAGTACAAATAATTACATTTCTTCCCAAACTGAGTATTTCACCATCTCTCTTATCCTTACAGAAGAACTATGAGAATATGAGAACATCCCGAATAAAGCACCTTAAACACAAATGTGAGAAATAACAGTGCTGTCATTTAGAAAAAAGACAGCACACATACTGCATTCCCGTCTCACTGTGTTTCTGCACGCAGCTTTGATACGTTGTACTATACCAAGCTTGACAACACAAGCTCCCTTTTTATTGCCGTTAATACCCTGAGCAATTACTGTAACTCAGCAGGAACCTCTGCCCAGAATGGCAACCATCACATTGCAATCAGCAGTTCATGAGAGACAAAATTTAAACATGAAGGCACCTGCTAATGTGCAGAATTACTAAAAGGGGCTCAGAATCTAACAGTACAACAGAAACATACATCTGCAGTTCCATTTCACAGTTATATTTTTTCCTTGGTGTGCTGGTATCTGCTTCAATAAAAATCACATTTTAAAAAAGAAAGAAAGAAAGAAAAGAAACGCAACCAAGGAGCAGGAAAGAGCAGAAGCAGCAGCAAGCAGCTGGTCTCTTGGGAAACCAGGTCACACAGAACCTTCAAGTGTCTCTGAAATATGAGTAAAAACCTCCTGGTAAGGAAATAACCAACCAACAGCAAAGACCTCTGTGTCGCACTGGCATGAAAGCAAGTGATTTACAGGAGTCCAAACTGTCAGTCTGCTCAGCAAAGCCACCAGGTGTTCTGAGCGGCATTCCAGGAAAACACTGACCTCAAAAGTGAACAGGCATTTGCCTTCTTTGCAAACAGAAAGCTCACTTTGGCCACATCTTTTAATAAAGAAAAATAAGTGGCATGCAGCTTTTAACTCACTGAATCTGAACATACTCACTGTTTGATATGAAAAATCATATCAAACAATGGATCTGCAGAGGGATGTCTTTAGCCCACACGCGATCTCTCTGACCTGGGAGGTCATGTATGTCATACAGAACACCAATACTGCCAACATGCAAAAGGGTTAGAAATAAGGGCACACAAAAATACTGCTACACATCCCTTAAAGGCTAAAGAACCGGAACTCTTTACAACCCAAAAAGCAAACAGTGATTCACCTCCTTCAATAACAAGAACCTCTAAGATTAAACTACTCAAAGACTCCTACATACTACCTAACTTTCATTTAACAGTCGTTTGAGAGAAATTCATAATCAACAGTGACTATGAACTACATATTGCGGTTAAGTAAGCAAATTTTGAAATTCACAACCTATTTATTTAAAAAACACAGATATGAAGAAAGCATACTTACTGCTGTCAGACCAAGAATGTTTATTTGCAAACCTCTGAAAAATCTTTACCAACATCGAGGGATACAATGGCCAAAGTGTGGGAATCACTGGTGAAAACCAAGAGGAACCACGTGGTCCCCACCAGAACTCAACAGAAAAGTCTTCATGAGCAGGTACAGTCAGCCCCACCATGCCAGGCCCAGGGCACCTCATCCAAACTTACACATACAAGGTTCCCAGGGCAGTTTTGTCTACAACCATCAAAGCACAGAAATTAATCCCAGAACTCAGTCTCTGGACCATTTTTCCCACTGGTCATCATTATTCCTAAATTTCCTTCACTTGAGGCTCCTGACACTGGTGGAGAAACTACTTTTAAGGAGTCAACTAAAACAACAGGAACATAAAAATTAGGAACACAATTTACAATACAGGGAGGATGAAATTAGGTGTCACGAAGCTTAAAACAGGAAAGCAGCAAAAGCCTTCTTCAGTGCTGCAACCAACAAGGCTCCGAGCACTGAGAAGATGAACTGGTCCACATGCTGCTAGTGACGGAGGAGCAGTCGGACGAGACAGCCAGTGCAACTGGAAATGGAAAAGGCACAGAATGGGATACACAGCACACGAAAACATGCTTACCAGTTTGAAGTCTTGGATGCTACAGATGAAATACGGTGTGTTTGGTCTCCGACTCTCAATATACACACAGTCTTTAAAAGAAAAAAAAAATCATAAAACATTGGCATTTACTTCTAAGAGAACAAAGTCCATAAAGCTAGTGTATAAATTACGTGGCAAAGCACATACCTTTTATGATCATTTTCCAATGGTGACATTAAATTACAAATTACTAAGCTAAAGGAAAACAGGCTTTTTGTTCCTTTTGACCACTCTTCTGATCAATTTAAAAAATTAATAAAAAAATTTTTTTTCCTGAATAGGGAAGGAGTATCTATATGAGGATGAAGGCATTCATACAAGAAATTCTTGGCTGGAAATCACATCAAGGCAAAACCTGGCAGATCTGAGACAGGCGCTCCCCACTCTCACAAAAAGAAGCAGCTTTTACAACTGCTAGCTTCAATCAATATTTTGTGAGGAATTAAGTAAAGAAGACAAGCACGGAAACGCTATTACAATTACCTTTTCACCTACACCAAGACACACAGAGAACTAATCAAATCTCTTGTGGATAATTTGCTACCAAATCTTAACTTAAACATATCTTATTATCTAATTGTAAAGCAAACCAAGGCAGCTAAACAGGAAAGAATGAAGTAAACTAAATTATATTTTCTTCAGAAAAGAAGAGAGATTTCTCAAATTATATGTGACACGGCAATGGTGGGACAATTATTTGGGATGCTCGTAACAGCTGCAGTCTGAAGGTTGTTTCTTATAATGGCGCATTAAGAAACTTCAAAAACACATACACAACGATTTTAAGGAAAGTTTCTATAAAGTGGTAATAATAATAATATAATAAAAAACCCTTTCTGTTATGGCTCAAGATAATCACAACGCTTAGGAAAGGAGAGCCTCATATATCATTTACCATAAGGATAGCCGCAGCTGATCCCATCTTCCAGGGCAGCACTCATCATGTTCACATGTAAAGATTACTTGTTTTCTCCATTCTCCTGATCCTTCAGATGAAACGTATGCTGGAATAACTCAAGTCCTCGAGAACAAGGCAAAACTGCCCTAGTGCCTCCTTTACCACACGTGTCTGGAATCACACCCCTGTGGGTAATCCAGCGGGACCAAGAGCAGCAGCTCGTGCACAGAGGTGTATCAGGAAGACAGCCCTCACTAACGGGCACAGCCTTCCAAAAAACTGTAAAGAGCAATTCAGCAGAAAGAGAAAATTTGACAGCCAGCTATGACTGCCCCCACTGAATGCTCAGACCATGCCAAGCACCTCCGCCAGCAGTAACTGGGACAGGAAACGCTGACCTTGTTCTCCACCGCCCTCCAGGGTTCCCAAGGCGGAAGGACCCCACTGCATCTCTCAGGCCACACCCATCTAACATGCCAATCACCTTAAGGGAATGATCCAAAGGTTTTAATTCCAGTATTACGGTCCCTGCTGGAACACTGCCAGTATTTCAAATGTCAATATTACATTAGTTATCTTACACACACTTGTCCACAAGCTCCCATCTTATCACCTCCAGCAGAGTCACATGCTTTGTATTTCATGACATAACCCTGGCACACCCTTCATTACTTCCTAACTAATGACTCAGATTGAATGAAGGCCCTACTTGCTACAAGTGTGTTGCATTCTGGGGTCTGTACCTTCTCAAAGAAATACCAGCTCCTACATCCATCTATGCCAACCTTCTCTCCCTCATTAGACCAGCTCCTCCTCATATCAAGCCTCTCATCACTTCTAAGTTAGCCCCCGAAGGGGTACATTCTCCAGACTGCTCTGTAGAGAAAGGGCAACGCCTCTCTTTTAAATACCAGCAGCCTACGTTCTGGTTTGCTCCAATCTCCCGAGGTCAGAGAAGCAGCCCTACTTCTATACTTCTTGCCTGCACAGAAGACGGGTGTCTGGCATCAGCATATGCAAAATGAAATAAACTGGATTACACAGCTAATGAGGGCAGGGGGCCGTGTACAGCTTTGCTCTAGATGTACTTACTATAATCAACAAATTTTACTACAAACTGCTCTGCTCTGAAACATAAAGAAGCTGTTAACTTGGACAAGTAAAAAAGCTTTACAACAAAGCAGACAGAACCTCAGTGCTTTCACTTTGTATTCAAAGGAAAATGAGCATACAGGACTAGCAGTAGCAGAGGAGGGCAGAAGGGTCCGACTGACCCGGCCAGGGCAGCCACAGACATCAGTGTCCACACGCACTGCTCAGGGGCTTAGCAGAGGCTTCCCCTTGCAGACAGGAAGGTGTGAGACAGAGCTTGTCAAGCCCGACATTTGAAACTTCCACAACTACCAGTCACGTTTATGACTAGATAAAGAGCCACCTTTTTTGTTCATTTAAAAAAAAATCACCACGGAAACCCAACTGACCCAAGCAATGAAGCCATGTATGAGATCCCAATACAAAAGAATACAAATCGAACAGCTGGCTGCATCAAGCAATCTTCTATCAACTTCATGAGACAGAGACAAGTTTCAGATAAGATCAATGCAAAATTAAGTGACAAAACTTAAAAGAGCTTACATATTAACAGGCACCAAGTTTGTGTCCCTACTATTCCACTTTCGATCCAGTTTCCTGCTTACAGCCTGGGAGAGCAGCAGAGGACAGTCTAAGTCCTTGGGATCCTGAACTCACTTGGCAGCTATGGAAGAAGCTCCTGGCTTCCAACCGGATAAGCTCAGCTCTGGCCAATGTGGCCATCTGAGGACTGAACCAGTAGACAGAAGATCTCCGTCTCTCCTCCTCTGTAAATTTTACCTTTCAAACAAAAAATATATCTCTAACAAGCATGAAAAGATACTATAGAGACAAATTATCCCTTATAACTCCACCATAGAAATCAGTGACCCAACTAAAAGAGAGGGTATTCTAAGAAACAGTTTGGAAATCAGGTCTGACGGGGGACTGCGGGGACCCCCCAAAAACTGCATTTTATTACTCTTAACATCCAAAACAAAGTAATTAAGGTCAAATTTTGGGGGGGAAAGATTTTATTTTTACTAGAAAGTCAGATATACAAACAGCAAGAGAGGGAGAGAGAGAAAGATATCCTATCCATTGACTCACTTCTCAAGCTGAAGCTGAGCCAATTAGAAGCCAGGCGTTTCTTCCGGGTCTCCCATGAGGGTGCAGGATCCCAAAGATTCGGGCCGTCCTTGGCTGCCCTCCCAAAATACAGCAGGAAGATGAATGGGAAGCAGAGCCACCTAGATTAGAACCAGCGCCAATCTGGATTTAAATTACCCAATTTATTGGCAAAATGTTAGATCTGGTCCTATGCTGTCTCTCTCTCTCTCTCTCTCTGTTTTCTTTCCTTTTTTTTTTTTTTTAAGATTTATTTTAGTGGAAAATCAGATATACAGAGGAGGACAGACAGAGAGGAAGATCTTCTGTGTGTTAATTCATGCCCCAAGTGGCCACAAGGGCCAGAGCTGAGCCGATCCAAAGTCAGGAGCCAGGAGCCTCTTCCGGGTCTCCCACGTGGGTGCAAGTTCCCAGGGCTTTGGGCCGTCCTTGACAGCTTTTCCAGGTCACAAGCAAGGAACTGGATGGGAAGCAGGGCTGCCGGGATTAGAATCAATGCTTATATAGGATCTCAATGCATGCAAGGCGAGGACTTCAGCCACTAGGCCACAGCGCCAGGCCCCAAGGTCAAATAGTTTTAAGAAGTATTTCCCTCACTCCCATTTATTTCATTATTCAAAGAGTTACTCAAGAAAAGAATTTACATAAATGTTTATAAATTAGCATAAAGAGATTTATTTGGGTAAATTAAGATGAGAATGTAAGTTTTAGCAATGCTAAAATCTCAGAGGGAATACATAGCCATTCATCTTTGAAAGCCAAAGTGAGTTGGCAAGATTTTCCTGTAATTTAGGAGTGAATGGAAGGGCTGAAGCTGGGCGCATAACTGATTTGAGTCGACTTATTCAGTTCTCACTCTGTCGATGTTCAGGCCAAAACAAGCACTGCAGGCACCTTTCAGAAAATTACAAATAAAACCAATTCCACCCATTGTTTTTCAATTAGAAATCTAGCAGTTCTGAAAGAATTTGGCAAAGCTACTGCAATCCACTGCACATAATGCAGTTTCAAAGCTGCTCAAAAGAAAACATGTGTTTACCAGACTGAGCAAATGGTTGCTGCAGAGGAACTCTCTCTGTATATATATAATTTAATCTTAAAATCAACATATCTGAAAGAGGCAAGAAAAATGAGTGAGACTATTACCACTCTTATCAGTTACTCCAAAACAACATATGATCACCAATTTTGTTTTGAAACTGAGAGCATGGTCTAGGGTGACACTCCCTGCCCCGACATCCTGCTTCAGCCTGGGAATGACCCACAAAGAGGATCCCCCTTGTGCAGGGAGCCAGGGAACCCAGGAGCTGGGTAGTTACTGCCCCGGGCCTCTCACATCTCAGCACATCACTGCACTGCCACTTGCAAACAGCAGGCCATTTGTCAAACTGGGTAAGGCGGTCACCCACCGACTGAAAGCAAATTCTCATCTAAGAAAACTCTGCTTTTAAACCCTCAGCAAACAACTTGTTTATATAAACAGGGCAGTTCCTCTCAAGGGTAAAAACCACAGCACGGAAGCTTCAGGCAGACACTCCAAGAACCCTGCATGGAGCACAGCAGGACTTTACTTCACCCACCAGCTTAGCCAGCTCAAACATTCAAAAGGCAGAGGCTGGCAGGATGGCTCAGCTCTCTAGTCCTCCTCCTGCAGGTACCAACATCCCATATGGGCGCTGGATTGTGTCCCAGCTGCTCCACTTCCATCCAGCTCCCTGCTTGTGGCCTGGGAAAGCAGCAGAGAATGGCCCAAAGCCTTGGGAACCAGCACCTGCTTTGGAGACCAGGAAAAAGCTCCTGGCTTCAGATTGGCCCATTTGAGGAGTGAACCAGTAGGTAAAACATCTTTCTCTCTCTCTCCTTCTGTTTCTCCTTCTCTCTGTAACTCTTTCAAATAAAAATAAATGAATCTTAAAAAATGAAAAAGAAATTAAAAATCTTTAAAAACAACAA